AAATCTGTGATAGACATTATATATCCACCATACAAAAATGAGTACCATACTATGTTGTCCTTTCAACCAATCAAAACTCGACAACACATTCTTAAATACCATCTGGTTTTCATTTTAAATAATTATAATACCATTTTTCATAGTACTTGTTAAATTGTTTATTTATTATTTACACCTTTTTCCACACCTATTCTATCCTATTCATGTACTCTATTTAAGAGAAAAAAAAAAGAAACAAATTATTGACATTATTTTCTTTTTAATTTCTCAAAATATATATTTTTTTATGTTTTATTTTATATGATATTATTTGATTTAGTATAATATTTAAGAAGAAAAAATGAAAAGATTTGAAATTTATGGTGTAAAATAATACTTGAATAGTTGTGTGATTATAAATTATTTCATAAGAGTTAAAAGGGAAAGAATTAAAATTGAATTATTCTTAATTATAGAAAAGTGAATTTTTCCTATTTGAAATATAAAAATAGAATAGAGAAACTACTCACTTTGATATGGAATATTTTCCTATTTAATTTTGCTTTATATGAATTAATTTGATTAAATTGAATTAGATTAGATTGGTTTAATATTTCAGAAAATTTAAAAATTTGAAATTATAGGAAAAGTATTATAAATTGTAGTAATTTCTTATATCAATAAAATGAAAATATATTTTAATAATATTGATTAAAGTTTGTATTGTTCAACTTGTAAAAAAGGTCAAACTCATTGGTATTTTTCTAAAGTTAACAGTAATTTTAATTTATACACTTTTATTAAACTTTGTTTATTTTAGACAACTCACGTCAAGTTCCGCCAATGATATGAGTTATAAAATAATTTTGATTTGTACAAATTAAATGTAGTTAGTATGGCCAACTTTTAAAGGAAATTGAAGTGTTTTGGCCAAACTTTTAAGAAAAAAATGGGTTTTAATATTTTGAGTAGTACGTATAGTAGGGCAAAATGGAAAGTATTTTCAAAACTTTGTTCAAGTATAAATTATTGTTATAATATAAATACAAATATTTATCAAATTAACAAGGTATTCAAAAATTGACTCTCCAAAAGTAATTCTTTTTTGGATACTATTTTAAATAAAAAATATTTTTATTTTGATAGTTTAATTAGCTAAACAAGACATAATTAAGACTTGTCTTAGATTTAAGTTCCAAATTACTCCCATTTTTTTCTTAGATTTAGGATTTTTAGAACGTGAATATAAAAAAAAAATTAAGTGAGAATTGATCGTTGTTTCTCTAAAAAAAATTACTTCGCAATTCAACCAAGTACATCATTCGATCCTTTTGGAACATGTAAGTTTAATGAGAAAATATTATATTAATTCGACAAAAAATGTATACATAAAATATCTAATTTAATAGAAAGATCACTATTTCACCCACATTATTATTTTTGAAATAAATACATCGCACTAACCCCACATAAATTAAAACGAATGAAATAGAGAGAAACAAAATCAAAAATATAAATACAAAAAAAAAAAGTGGGTTGTACTATTTCCCTTTTTAAATAAGATGGGATCTATTGCTTTATTTTTTCTTTTTCATTGTTGTGAAATAGTAACTAGGGTTTGTTGTAAGAGGAAATATAATATCAGGGTTTCCATAATTAGGTCATATTTTTTTTTCTCTATG